AAAGATGATGATAACGCTGCATTGCAAAATGATTCTCAATATTAATTTCTTTATCGTTTTTCAAATTTTCGTGAAAATCTTCCACGTTTAATTCCGGTGATTTAACTTCTTCAAAGATATCTCTGGATGCTTTATTTTCTTCTTTCATCGGTTCCAAGATCTTCTCTTCAGCTATTTTTTTTTTCCTTTGAACTCTAGTAGAGACGGCATTAAAATGGTATCACTAAGTTTACGTTCAAGTGATAAACTAATAAAATAAGTCAGTTCAGTGTTAACAGGAATTAATAACCTGATATCACTAATATTACGTTCAGTGATGAACTAATAAAATAAGGCAATTCAATATTAACAGGAATTAATAACCTGATATCACTAATATTATGTTCAGTTATGAACTAATAAAATAAGACAATTTAATATCAACAGAAAGTAATAATCTGGTATCACTAATATTACGTTCAGTGATGAACTAATAAAATAAGGCAACTCAATATCAACAGGAAGTAATAACCTGGTATCACTAATATTGCGTTCAGTGATGAACTAATAAAATAAAGCAATTCAATATTAACAGAAAGTAATAATCTGGTATCGCTAATATTGCGTTCAGTGATGAACTAATAAAATAAAAATACGCACGATTATTCGAACTTGGTCGGTGCCTCCAAAATAATTAAGATTGTGATACTTCTTTGGCGATATGAAGCAATTCCAATGATGGAACACAGCAATAACTTTTAACACACACTCAAAAAAATGGCGACATACAAACAAGAAGAGAAAACATATTCTAACATTTAAAAATAAATTACATTCTTCGTGCGAGAGTCGCACGTGGCACTCGAGTCTGGTTTCAAATATTGCCAGTAATCTGTACATTATTTATTATTCATCTATTTCAAATGCACGAGAGATTAATAACGATATTAAAGCTGTTACAGTACGAAGAGTCGCCGGAAGCTGAAACAGTTGAACAGCTACTGGATTAACGTCAACTTGCTACTGAAAATAAAACTTTTAATGATGTAAAACGTTACTTGGTTTTATTTTAGTCTTTTCTACGAATCATTTTAAAACGGTCAAAAATAGACAGACCTCAAATTAATCAAAATCGATTAGCAAATCTAACATTGAGATCGTTGCTTTTTGATGGTATCGATACTTTAACATCATTCTTCAAAGGACCATAAACATGAAAAATACAACAGCAATGGGAACTATTAAGTTACTCGGAGTGTGTCGGAAGAATTTTCATATGGGAAACGTAACAGAAAATGTTATTTCTACAGTCAGTTTAACAACACAACAACAGATTCGGCCTCAAAATTTTAAAGCTTTTTTTGCAGAACTTGGATTAGTCGATGATAATGTAATTACATTGTGAACGAGTATTATGTTATTCCAACGAGTGTGACTGCTGACTATTACTGAACATGTATGACTTGATCTTTCTAACAGATATTATTAAATATACTGAAGATTTAAGTGAAAAATGATATGCCAAAAAACTGTACGACAGCGCATTAAATAATTTAAGATCATTTCAGAAGTAACTAATTACGAATAAAATTGTGCATTTCACTATTCTATTAACGAGGATAGTGAAATGCACAATTATCCTATCAAAAACGTATAAAAATTGCTCCAAATTTACTGAACTTTAAGTTCATGGAAAACTAAATTAATTTCTTTGAAAAATGAATTTGCTTCGTTGACAATTAAATGCACAGATCGATTTTATTTATTTATTTATTTATTTTTCGATTTCAAAGTACATAAAGATATCATGAAGCTATGTTATGTGTTTGGTTCTCTATATGTTACAAATGTTATTAAATGAAATTCTGAATGACTCTGACAAAAAGTACTTTCGGACAACAAGCTTAATTTCAAGCTTAGTAAAAAGTATATCCCCTGATATTCTTCTTCAGATGCTTCAAAAGATACCTTTCAACTCCTTTCACAGCTAGGAAGTATATTATTTCTGCGAACAACTGTTATTAAGGTTGAAAACCTAACAAACAAAATCAATGTGTCTTTTGACAGAAGAACATCTTAATGGAATATCTGCATCGCTATGTCAAGTACATGTGTAAGACGCTGACTACTAGCAAAGCAAATCTAAACTTAATATTAATTCAGAGTTGGACCTACAATGGAAAATAAGTTAACCTATTAAAAAAAGATTTTTAATAACAGTAACTTCCAGCATTAGTGTGCAAATAGGTCACTTCTTATTATCTTAAGAAACAAACAGTTATTGTATGCAAAACCTTAATTACCCTCTGAGTAAAAAAGCTGGACAACCGCCATGAAAAATCAAGCAAATGCGAAATTACCAGCATTCAGTCATTGGTGGATCTAAATTTGCTTAGTAGTTTCATCAACGATGTTTTAGTAGTTCCATCAATGCAGGTAATTGGTCATAACGCATTATTTTAAGGTTTAAGTATAGTAATTACTATATTGGCCATAATTTTGAAACTGAACTTCGAGCTATTTGTGTTTCCTAACCTAACTTTCAGTTTTAAAATTAGGAATATCGTAGCACGTTTATAATCCTCATTACTGAAGTATTGATATGTTCACAATTATATTCTTCAGTATTATTATGTGCATATTTCATTTTCCATTATTAATATGAGTTAGTATTCTCCTTAGCATAGTTTCTCCTGCCCTCGAGCGACCTCTTAAATGTTATGCTTCTCTGACTTCTGTACTGGAAAAACTTGGAAAAAGAATAAATAAAGGAAAAGAACATTTCAATTTGTTTATTAAATTCAGATTAAATATTCCCTCGAATGTAACGCTTTTCATTATGTTGCTTATTATGTTGAATGTGTTTTGCAAGAAATGTAATGAATACTGAATGAATGAGGGGTTTCTAAGGGATTCAGATACTATACTTTCAGTAAAATCTAAGCAAACATGTTTCTTTCTAAATTAAAAATTTAATAATAAATGGCAAATTACTTTTAAATCAAGACGCAAGAACTTTTAAATGTTAAGCTACGCGTATAAGACCGGTTGAGGTTACATAATGGCATTTTAAGAGAAAAACCGTCTTATTATCTTGGCAATACGGATATTAACTCACATTTGGCTTATAAAATTAATGAAAAAAATATTCCTATCATTATTAAAAGTGATTAAAGTTAGATTATTACCATATTATTACCAAGTTAGATTATTACCATATATTATTTCTAAGTTTGAAATTATTTGTCTGTTATCCGCTTAATAAGATAAAACATTTTATCAGAAATAAAGAATATATACGAATTAAATTCAAAGCTAAAAATTACAATGCAAAAGATATGGCAGGTTTGGTTTATTTGATTACGGTAAAGCACACAAAGGATATCTGGCTAAGATGAGGGACGCCCTCGTGGAGGAGTTTCTAAGGGAAATCGGCTCGTATGCACGTTGTACACATGGGGAAAACTATGAAAACACCAATGTAGCCCAGTCCGTTCGACAGGATTCGAACCAGTGTTAAGCGATTTTGCAAAAGATATGACAGAAATTCACATAAACATATTTCTAATTCCCATCAAACGCATCAAAGTAACATGATATAGCGATAAAGGAATATTTAACACATGAATGTTTAAAAGAACTTTCAAGAAAACTGCTTAACGATTTATTGCAATCTTGATAGCTTCATAAAATACAGCAACATTCGAACTGGAAATATCAGAAACTATCAAAAAGATATAACATTAAATGGAATTTTTTAGCAAAGTTAACCGCATTTCTAATTATGATCAATATTATAGGCATCAGTATAATTTAAGAACGTAATGTTTACTATTAACAGTAATATTTCGTTAATTTTACGTATGTATCTTAATCTATTTTGAAAAATTTGAAAAAAAAAAAAAAAAAAAACCACTCTCTCGTCCCTCCCCCCCCCCAAAAAAAATTTATTCTTCCTACACGTAATTTGATTATAAAATGAGAACTTAAAGTAAATAACATGTACTTTTATCTCAATGGTATCAATTCTATAAAAATAAATAAACGGAGATTTAATTACTATTTAGAATTTATTAAGATAACCGGGAGAAACTCGCACCCTGGATAAACTTTCTTTTCAGCTCTACTCCGCAGCCACTTTTCTATTTTTTATGAGTATTAAGCACATATCGTCAACAAGAATTCACTATTATACTTTGATTGATAAAATTAATGAATAATAAAATCTGAATTTATAAGTCTAGAATTTACATCTAAGAAGAATATAGGACTAGTAATTATTCATCAAAAGATATTTTAATTTATATGAAATGACTAAAAGGAGTTTTACGAAGTCTATTGGAAGGATTTCCAAATCGCTAAAACTCATAAATGAGGAAAGACTTTAATTCCCAACTTATGGTTCCATACATATATTTCAAAATAGAAAATAAAAAAAAACAAATGAATATATCTCCTTTTAATCATCGGTGGTACACAAAATTAAATCAGATATGATTATCTATTAAAGTCCAATTTATTCCATTTAATTTATCATTAACAAAACTTTCATTCAATTCTATTTAAATTCTCTTAAAGAAGGGGCAAATAAAAAAAGGAAAAAAGTGGGAAAATTGCTTTACAAAAACTCCATATTTACAATTCCAATTACTTGTAAAAAATAATAAACTGAGGAATACTCAAAATGTTTTTTCCTTTTTTTTCGGGGGAGGTGGGTTCATCTGCACAAAAGCATAACGTTCCGTACGCTATCCGCACAAAAAAAGATCAAATTTTCTGTGCGGCCTGGCTGCAGGTTCTAAAAAGTCTACATGGCCTTTGATATAATAATAATAATAATAAAAAAAAAAAAATAAGAACTCTTACAACACGCGCCTCTCCTTTACATTTAATGATACTCATTAAATAAAATAAAGATTGCTAGAACAAATAATTGATAAATTATTAAAAGAAAAATTATTCCAATTAATTAGATGATAAATGAACATGTTTGACAAAACAGATTAATTACAAAAACTCACCAACGTCGTTTAGTAAATAGCTACACTCCACCTGATTAGAGAAAAGAAACAAAAAAGGGAGAGTTGCTAGAAAGCTTGTCGCCATCGTCCAAGGGAAGAGTAGAAACCTTGAACTCGGTTAAAAAACGAATACTTCGTCCTAAACTTCGACGAAGAAAGTCGAATTTTGAACAGGGTTGCCGAAGTGTCTTGATATCGCCAACTGAGATCACCGCTCGCCAAAGAGTGACCTTTTCAAGTTCTTTTATATTAAAAGTTCATCAGAAGCAGTAAAATTCCGAAATATCAGAAAGCAAATTTAAATAAAAGCTTGCCATCTAATTCTTCATATCACAGACAGATATCTTGAATTAAAAGAAAGTAGATTTGAAACGTGTGAATCCATCAACTTTTTCTATTAATGAGTATTATTATTCATATGCACTTATGATACAAATTAAACAGGAATTGTAAATGAGAAAGTTTATGAATTAGTCTGCGACACAAACATATAAAGAAGAATGCGAATACTTTTATTTTTAAACAAAAATACAGAAAAATGTTCGCACATTGTTTAGACGAATTTGCTTTGTTATAAAAAATCGCCCGCTTGGAAAAAAAATTAACTGCAGCTATATTTTTTAAAGTGTAAATTATCGTCTGCTACTTGATAATTTTATTTTCATGCAAAATGGTGAAGAACCAGTGGAAGGAAGGCTATGTTTGTGCTCTTTCCGAAGAAAATTATTCGTATTTAATTATTTAAAAAAAGTGCTGTGAAAGCCATGATTTTTTGGTATCTGAAGCAGCAATAGATAATATTGTCAGTAAGAAAGGAAAAAAAAAAAAAAAAACCTCCAAAGTTTGACTTCAAGGGAAAACATTTTTCAAAATGCATATCCAAGGCCAAAACGGAATGCTTAGAACGTTGCAAAGGTAAGATCTTTAATGTTAAAAGAAAATCTGTGAAGTCAAAGGACAGTGTAATAATCATTAAAATGCTCATTGTCAACTGTAAACAAAGTGATTAATGTTGATTCGTATCTGAAAGAGTCGAAAAACTGTATATGCATCTTCTTTCTCCACGACATATCGCCGAAAGCAGAATGCGCTGCAGAACTCTCCATGAGAAACAATTATTCGGACAAAAATGGGAAAATGTTGCAACAATAGATGATCTTGGGTATGTTTAAATGACTGATAAATAGAGATCCATTTATTATCATCAAACAGAAGAAGAAAATTTTAGAACACGGTTTCAAAAAATCTAATGAAAATTTTTCAAAGGGATTTATGATTGTTGCTGGTTTTTGATATAACGACAAATAAAAATTAAAGACAGTACAGTAAACTGTTAAGGTCAACTTCACATATTATTAGGAACATATTTTATATCCAATTATGAAATATAAAATACTTTCTCTTTACCCACAGTGTCATCAATTAGTAGAACTGCATCAAGACAAAACAAGCAGCTGCAGTCAAAATCCACTGTTAATTTCCTTAAAAAATGAAACAAGAAGCGTGTATCAAAGCCCATACCCTTCACTCACATTCCTATTAAATTTCCTGATGTATCATCCACTGAGTTTTGCCTTTTTGGACTTTTGAAAAGTGAATTGTCCAAACGTCGACCTGCAACCCTCCTTGAACTTTGGAAAGCTGTTCAAGAGGAATGGGATAGAATAACTCTTTCGATACTAAAAAAGGCTTTATTATCTTTGAAATTACGGTGTAGAAAGATAGTGAAGAATAAGGGTTATAAAATGGAACATTTAAAACACAATTTTAGGTAAAATATTTTTGTAAATAGAATGAAAATCGTGTAAAAAATGTGCAAAAAAATGTTAAACAGTTTTTAATATCAATTTTTGTTTAATACAATGAAAATAACGATCGAATTTAATAAATTAAAAATATGGCAGCCTCCTGATACCGGAGGCGATGTCCACGGTTAACCCTAAACCAGAGTTAATTCAGCATTTAAAAATAAAATGCAGTAAGAGGAATTAACTTGTGTTATAATTTACAGAAAACGTCTATTGAAAATTTACTTATATTTTTAAGCAGCTTAAATTCGGAGAATAAGTTCATTTGATTATGTAAGTTATTAAATCAGTATTCAGAACAGGAAAAATATTTTTTAGAATAAAAAGAACGATTTTTTGCTTTCACAGAGAAACCCGTTATAACGGACTTCAAGAAATCGAAAATTTGCATTTTCCACCCCTATATCCGACCCCATAACCAAATTGGTATATTTTAAAGTCTATATCTAAGATAAAAAATATGTAAATCAAAATTTTAATTTAAAATAACTTCTAATTCACTTTAATGCTCCTTCTCTGTTTTAAAAATCGTAATAACTTCTCTGGATTGCGTCATTTCTAGATCATTTCATTTTGCATGGCCTGCGCAGCGCTGATGACGAAATAATCGGGAACTGAAACTTTTAACTCAAACCAAAACCTTTCTCTTCGTGTGCTTCCATATTGGATAACTACGCACTTTAGCTTCTGTCTGTGCAGTACTTGTACGCATTTTCCCTGGGCTCGCTTCCTATCGCAATTATATCAAAAATGTAAATGTTCTTGAATAGGCACGAATAGAATGCCAAGCGAACTGTGGCCACAAATGTCAGTTGCAAATAAAAATGGAATTAAAACTGCCTCGACTGCCACGTTTTTTAGATATTTCGAATTCAACATATCGGCCTACAACGCAGTCGGATTTCTTCCTTATGGATCTATGATCTATAATATCTAGGTATTACGCATCAACACTGCTCCTTCTTTTTCCTTGACTTAAAATTATATATATATACATTGACTAATGGATAGCAAAAAATTATTAGCATTCTCATTTCTGCCAAAAGAATTGAATCATAATCTTAATTTAAAGAATCATGCTAAGCGTTAGTTACAGTTATTTGTTACGCAATTATTAAATTTGTTTCACATTGTTTTTAATTTTTTCCATACATTTGTAATGTTGCGCGCTTCCAACCTGCACGCAACAATAGTGGTGACTGCTATGAACTGGAAAGTATACAAAGTTTTGAGAAAAGTTTAAATCCCTTTTTATTCAACTTTAGAAATTACAGATGCGGGCTCTTGACGCTCACAAACTACGCCGACCCGGCGGTAAAATAAAAATAAGAAACTAAAAATGAATAATAACAAGTGACTACCTACGAGGCTCTCTAAACGTAACTACCTACTAACCTAACCGCGTTCTAAGATACCGCTGATAATTCAGCAAACTTCTGAATATTACGTTGAAAGATTTAACTATCTACCGAGGCAAGCACACAGGCCGAAACGCGTGGTTCTTCAATTTCTAACTAGCCACCTCCACGCTCGTGAAGCAAGAAAGCACCCCTTCGAACTCGTTTCCCTTCTATTTAACTCAGAATACTTCCGCTGACTATTTTGAATACTTTGCGCGTTCTACTAAAATTTACATACTCTGGCATTGGCAATTCCAGGGGAAAGTAAGGCTTGACAGGAAAGATAGTTTAAACTTAAAATAAATGTTAGTTAAAATAAATATAAACCCTACATTTGCCGCTGCCAGAATTTGGTAAACTTGGAAGCAGGTCCTAGAAACGACCTGTTGAAAAGTTTCCACAATTCTGAACTAAAATTTAAGAGCCTCGTTTACATAAAAAAACTGTTTTCTCACAAAAGGTAGAATAAATTTTTGTAGATACTTATTTAACCTTCTCTTCTTACAGCAACCTTTCCTGGACTTCAGCAATCAATCTGTTCTCTTCCTTCCAGCATCTGGAAGGAATAAGTATCAGTATCTTTCTAAATACATTATAATTTACACTTTCTTGACACTGAATAAGTTTTGTTTTTTTTGATCGATTTATTTTCCTTAGTTACTGCTTAATTCACATTCATTCAAGTATTCAAACATGAATTTAACTTTACCCTGGCTCTCCACCATGTGTGGTGTCAAACGGGAATATTCGTGTTTTAGTATTACAACACTTCCCCTAACCACAATGATTTGTTAGAATTCAACGACCAAATAGACACACCTTACTCGACATTCTAAAACTCGATGAGCTATTTTAACATTCTTAAAATTATTCAAGTGTAGGTGGAGAACACTACAAAACACATTCATTCTAAATTCCCCCTCATTCATCTTTAGACATGCAGGCTTTCGCTCTAAAGCATGATTTTATCTACAGTTTAATACTTAAATTTGAATTCATTTCTTTTTGAGCATTTACTTTTAGCATCTAAAATTTTATGCTTCTAGACTAAATTCTACTTTTACATAACTTTCAAGTATTTACGTATATTTACAAAATTCTAATACATATGATTTTTACAATTTACCATAAAATGAATAAGAGAAAATAAATTTTTACTTTACGCATTCTTCGCCAAGCTGGCGGCACTGAAACTAAATTTCTTATTAATACAAAAATACGAAGTTATTTTTATCTTCGGCCAAATTTTGGCTTTAACATAACAGAATTAGTCTTTCGACCAACAGAAACTGCTTGTTCTTAGATTTTATACTTAAAGAAAATAATACTTTTGCCTTAGCTAAATAAAGTAAAACAAAACTAAGTCTCAACCGAGACAAATTGACTTCCGTCAAAACATAGAACTTCGTATTTACGCATAACATTTCGGAACAAAAGAAAAAAAATTTTATAGAAGATTTTTAACTTATCTTTGAGTTTTCGATGATTGGAACTCCGACATCCTCTTCTGGCAGAACTGCTCCCAAGTTATGGAATTCATCGACGTCAATCGTTCTCCTTTGTGGTCCTTCGAGTGTCGTCCATGTTGATATTTTTCTTTTTCGCCCTCTGCATGCTGGCCTCTTGGAGTGGTAGTCGTCGGTTGCTGTCTTTTCCGTTTTGCCCCTGGACGGCTGGTCTTGGCGTCCTCCGGTCTGGAATCATGCTTGAATTTCTTCTTCTGTTGGTGGTGGTCTTTTCGTTCCTCCTGCTGTCTTTTCGTTCTCGGGAACGGCGGCTCTTGTTTGCATCTGACACTCTGGCCCTGGAAGCGTTCTCCTCGATGCAGAATTTCTACTGCGATACGTTGTAAGTGGCGTTTTCCTCTTTACCAAAGCTTCTTTACGCGGCGGCGTTGCTTTCTTGTATTTCTTAAATGCTGGAGTCTGAACGTTT